CCCGCCGCCGCCGCGGGGAGCCGCGCCCGCCCCGCTCCGCTCCGCGCCCCGCCCGCCCCGCTCCCCGCTCCGCTCCCCGCCCCGGTCCCGCGGCCGGGACCCCGCGGGGCTGCGCCCGCCGAGCCCTCGGGGTGGAGCGGCTCCCGCTTCCCACAGACGTGAGATTAGAGTTGGCGCAGCGCTCCCAGGGTGGATCCTGAGTGGCACCGCGCGTCACCCGCGTGTCCCCTTCTCCTGGCCTTGGAACAGCGCGTTTTCTGGAGAGAGGCGGCGGGAAGGGGGATCAGTGGGTTGGGGACAGCTCTGTGCGTGCAGCACTTCGGCTCAGCCTGGGACTTAAGCAGCAAGCACATGTCCCATTCACCCATTTCCCCTGCATGGCGCCACTCCGGTACCCCGAAGTGAAGCCGCCCGCTTCCAGCGCCCTGACTTCGCTCCCCCACACCCATAATCGCTGTGGTACATGGATGGGAATAATCACAGACTCCACGCCACTCTGCGTGTTCTCTTCTGCCAACTGGACTAGCTCCTTTAATAAAGTCTGACTGAATGGGTCTAGTCACATTTGCAGTTACCATTACCATGATCTAGTCGCTGTCGTAGTTATGGTTCGGGGTACTGTGGTCATCTCAGAGACCCCCGACACTGCCGAGTTGCTGAAGTGACACGCATCAGTTACTGCTGACAGCGAGCTGAGCTGCCTCATACAGAGAAGTCACAGCTCTGCTTTAATCCCACTTGACACAGCAGCTCATTCGCTGAAAATAGACGCAAACATTATCAGAGCTGAAAATGCTCTGCAGAAGGGGCCCAAAAAACCGAACCTGCCTAAGAGTCAAGGGGAGATTTTTAGGGTCAGAGGAAAGCCGGGCAGTGCGGAGGTTTGGCTTGCAGCGAGGGCGAACAGCGGGGATCGCTCCTGGCCGCCGTGGAGGGCTCGGAGTTCGCGCTGTTGTCGCTGCAACCGGGATCTGTCTTGACACCTTTATCAGGCACAGAGACTCTGACATCTCAATACTGTGGCATTGTGTGGGGAAGCATTGAGACGGGGCTGCGGCGAGGAAATCCTACATGTCAGCGGAGACCCTCGCCAGTGACACCGTCGGTTTTAAATGAAAACAATGGAGGGAAAAGCAGACGTATAAATAAAATGTGCTTATTTCACCGTCACAGAGAAGGCTTGGCAGCATGTCAAACTGCACGATGTTTGCTCTCATAACTGCTGTGCTGGAGGTGCCAGAAAATCACTAAAAATTAAAACAACAGCAGCATAATTATAACACTGCACAAGGAATTGTTGGCGTCATTATTTTGAAGACAAAATTGCAAAAGCAGAGCCAAATTCTGCTCTCAAGTAAAGCCAACAGGGTAAGATTGTTGTAGCATTATTATTCCTATCGCTACTAAGTTTTAGTATTATTACTATTACTACTCCAATTTTCCAAGAGGAGAGCAGCAGAGAAGGACCAGGAGCTTTCCTAGGTCTACGGATAAAATAAAAATGTCTGTGAGAATTCATAGTAGTTTTTCACACTGTGGCTGAATTTTTAAAGTGCCACAGCGATTGTTCCTTTCTGTCAGGTGAGGGCAAACACTCTCCTGGAGTAGCAGGATGGAAACAGCAGACCTGAACCCAGAGAGTTTTAAGGTTGCTGGGAGATGAAAAGGTCTGCACCGTGGATCAAGTTAGCTCAGCCCTTTAATGGTTTTGAACTGGTTTTGATTTGGAAAAAAAACAAGAGCTTATAACATTTGGAAGCCCTTTACAACAGGAAATCAAATGGGTATTGAGATAGTCCTGTTTGAAGGACTTCAAGGTTTGCAGTTTTCCCTACAGCAGGATATTTTTAGGTTTCCCATTTATTAACCATGCAGAACGCTTATGTGGTGTTGGGGAGCACAGACCCGATTAAGTACAGATTTTTTGATGCTGCTATGTCACTGTGGTGGCCACCGTAAGAGAGCCCAGGATGTAGTGCTGTGCAGCAAAAACTGCAGCTCTGGACTGTGTCTCAGCCACTTTCTTACTATTAAAAAAAAAAATAAAATCTATGTACATAGGCTAGTAAAGCCTGCACAACACAGTCGCATTTATTTCAGCACTGTTATGCCATGAGCCATATATTAGCCCCAAAGTTTTTCTTCCCCCTCAGGCTAGGAGCATGCACCCCCCTCCACGCAGGGATACTCTTTCTGCCAACATGTTTGTTCTCCTTTTACTCTTTATAAGAATTCACTTCCCAGAACTTTATATTTGTTTATGCCCTTAATATCCAAAGCTGTCTGTGATGAAAATCAACCCCCTTTCAGCAGCCCAGGGATTGTGAGTGATTGCCCTTTTCTGAGTGAGTGTCTCCAAGCCTGTCACTGTCACACACCTCCATCTGCCCAGACCCCACTGGGGGCTCAGCCACTGACACTGGCTGCCCTGGGACAGGTTTTGGGGAGCCTTGCAGGCCCTGGGGGCATTTGCATGGCTAAAACCCCTCCTTTCCTCTGTGCCTCTCCAAAGCCCTTAGAGGGAGGCTGCTAATCTCTCTCTATGAAAGTGCAACCTGTTGATAGTCTCAAATTAAGTTAAATGAAGGGTGCTGTCAAAAAAAATGGAGCAAAATTGGCTCCATGTGTGAATGCTTCAAGCAGTTCCTTCTGCCTCTCTGTCCAGGAGATGGGGACTGGACAGGCTGTCAGATGCTTGTCCCAAAGCCTTTGGGACTGAGGCTCTCTGGAGAGGCAGGAAGAGAGAGGGGCTTTATTCATGCCAATGTCACTCTTGGTGACATTGCTGTCAGAAAGTGTGCAATCACCTCCCTTCCCCTGCAATTCCCCTCATGCAGAGCTCTCCCCATGCACATCTGAGCTGTCAGATGAAGCATGGCAGGCAGGAGGCTCAGGCACCAGTGCTGGGCTCAACAAGGATCTTGCAAGAATTACAGTGGGGACTGGTGCCCCCATACATCTGATTCAATTCCTGAATCAATACTGAGTTGGAGCAGAGCAATGACGTAGGTGAAACTTTAATTCAAATTTTAATATGCTGGCAAGTTTGATCAGAGACTCAGTCACATGAGCTGCTGAATCATATCAGGTTATGTACACACAATAAATATTGCCAAATATTTCATATCAAAACTGGGTCTTGTTAGCTGACTTGTGAGCCAGACTGAGTGTTGTGGCCTCACAATGCTGTAACAGGCTGTTCCTTCAGCCCAGCTGAATGCTACGAGCTCACATGAAACTGAATGGAAATATTGGTTCAGAGATCAGTATCAGTGTGCATGAGTAGAAGCCCAAGCTGTTCACCCTTAGCATTCAAGGGTTAAACAGCATCAGTGGATGTCAGCACTGGGGTACATTTTCCAGAGCTCATGTCACTACCCATTTATATCAATAAGGTGCATTGGAATGGCTAAACCGCTTTTTATTAGCTAGCCAGCCCTTAGAACTGCAATTCCAGGCTGGTTTATTGAATTTCAAGCTCAAAAGTCATTGTTGCTAAGATTAAGGATCCAAATGATTGTCAGGGTAAACATTGTGAGCAGTCAAGCACCTTGTGAAGGATCTCTCTGTGCCTGCACCCTCTGTGAGCTGGTTGCAACACAGTCTTATCCTGTTGGATTTGTTTCCCACTGGATGGCATGGAACAGACAAGGAATAGAGGGCTCTGCAAGGAGTGAGTTGTTTTACTTGAAGTGAAATAAAAAGGAACAAGTGAACTGGAGAGGCACGCTGGATCTCTTCTGCAAAGAGCTGCGTATGGGGAGATGTGGGCAGAGGTAAAATAATTTGTCAGCCTGGAAAGCAAAGCAGGCAATTGGAGAAAGTGGGGAGAAAAAAAAACCAAACAAATAAACAAAAAACTGGAGCAAGCCTGTGGAGGGTGTGAGAAGCAAGGATTTAAAATTAGACCTTGAAATAATGCTGACTCAGCACAGCAGCTGTGTGTGTGCAGCCAGGGCACTGCACCAGGGTCACAAGTGGCTCTCAGAGGTGTCACTGACCACCTGCACTGGCTGGGTGCTGCCTGTCCTTGGAGTAAACCAAGGCAACGTGCTGGAGCCTGGAGGGGACAAGACAGAGATCACTGCTGCCTGCCAGACCTCTTCATGCCATGGCCACATAGGATATTTCAGGCAAATTCATGTGCAGCAGGGTTGCACTTGTGGCTGTAGCAAGGCACCTCACTTTGAGGGGCATTTGAAATGTAGCCACAGCCTGTTTAATCCCTTACCAGCCTGTGCAGACTGGTGCCTGTAAGGAGAAATCACACACTGCCAAGATGAGCTTCTGGGAGTCCAACAGCTGCCCCTCAAGTCCTCTCTCCTGGATGTGGCCAGAGACCACCAAAGGGCACCACCTGCCTGCTGCTGCCCATCCACCCTGACTGCTCATCTGCAGCAGAGGTTACAGAAACTTCCCTTTTCTGCAGCCCTTTGGAGCTCACACACATTGGACTCTTCTCCAGGTCCTGGCCTCATTGTGTTTCCTGGTGTCTCTCCTTTCTCCAGGGGTTTTCCCCTGTTCTGCCCCACTCCAAGGTAGGGAAAGGGATGCGTAGTGAGTGGCATGGGAGC